TCAGTTTCCCTCCTGCTGAAAACGTTATTAAAACCCCTGACCCAAACTTAAATGGAGAAAGCCAAATTACAGAATGCCATATTTCCTCAAGCCTCCAATTACAGCATATGTAATTTGAAGCATTGCATGCCTGTTACATGAGGAGAAAATGTTATGAGTTGTACCCAAGAATACAATACACATGCAGGAACAAGTAAGATTCACTGACCTCCTCATGGATTGGTAGTTATTTTTATGCCAGTTAATTTCCAGCAAGCCTGTTTCTTGTTCAATTTAATTTATATTGTCAGATACCGTAACCTTATTTACATGTTTCGTTCAATTTGCAAATTGATTAAGTGTAAGCCAATGGCCTGTGGCCCATCAGTTTGTCACATTCTCACTTCCTGTACAATGCTTCATATGGATTCTTACCAAATGCCAGTTTGTCACTAAATTGGTAAATTGTTTAATGTTTGTGTGTAATTTTTTCCTGTCAACAGGTTACCTGTCATGTTGTCGCTTCACAGATGACAATCAAATTCTCACCAGTTCAGGAGATATGACATGGTATGTTGTTATTATAAAGCATTGCTTTTCCATTTCCTACCTTCAGCACCTTTTTATGATATGTCAGATGGCAAGTTATGGGAAAGAAGTATTCCCGCTTCCTAAACGTATGGTCATGACTGATGTTCAAGGATCAAGTTCTCCCAATGTAAATAAAAGTAAGTGTATGTTGTAAGGAGAGTATTAATGTTTACACGACCTTTCCTTTGTTTCAGTGCACTATGGGACATTGAAACTGGACAACAGACCACTGCATTTAGTGGTCACACTGGTGATGTGATGAGTTTATCATTATGTCCAGACAACAGGTCTTTTGTATCAGGAGCTTGTGATGCTTCGGCGAAGGTATTGACTTTTGATGTGTACCCTAAACTTAGACAAATTTGCAGATCTGCTTACTATGTTACACTTTTAGGCCCTGGTGAAATAAAATCTTTTGAAATAAAGTTGACAGTTTCTTGTTTTGAGGAGCAAGTTAAGCTTCAGAGACATGTTTCCCATCCTGCTAAATGTGGTCCATTTAGTGCCACATTTAAGGGGCTCAGTCACACTAGTTTGAGTTATTTTGGACATGCACAAAATTACCTTTAAATTGATGGAAGCCTGAAAATAGCAGACCTGCTCATTCAATCGGGTGCTTAGGATACAGCCAGCTTTTGATTTATAAGAAATATTTCAAAAATGGTCAGGAAAGTATGAGTTGTCTTTCCTAGTAAAGACTGCTAAATTGAGTAAGTGCTGACCGGTCTGTCATAGAGTTGTTAGATGACATATTGTGTTTGTCTTTTTATATTTCAGCTGTGGAGCATACCAGATGGCATGTGTAAACAAACATTTACTGGACATGAATCAGATATCAATGCAGTAGCAGTAAGTTTCAAGCTGTTTTAATCATTTCAGCTTCACATGGTAAATTGTAAAATTGGCAAATCAGGCAGAAACCTCTTTTTTGGTCACTCATTTTTATTTTGTTTGATTCATTCCAGTATTTCCCCAATGGAAATGCATTTGCAACAGGGTCAGATGATGCTACCTGTAGACTGTTTGACATCCGTGCTGATCAGGTGAGCTTTAGAAATCTTAAAACAGCTTAAGGTTATCAATTAAGGAGAGTTAACATTGTGAGCCATTTTTCTGTATGTATAAAGAAGTCTTCCAAGTTGGTATCAGACCTACCGTCAGTTTGGGACTTCAGTTGAAAATCTGGTTGACATTACTGTCTGACCAGGCTTTTATTGATTTCTGCACTTGTTTTTCCTATGTCAACTAAAGCATTTTTGATTGGTTCACATTTGTTATAGGAGCTCATGGTTTACGCCCATGACAACATTATCTGTGGAATCACCTCTGTCGCATTCTCAAAGAGTGGCCGTCTGCTACTGGCAGGTTACGACGATTTCAACTGCAATGTGTGGGACACACTGAAAGGAGAACGTGCAGGCGTTCTCGCTGGGCATGACAACCGCGTCAGTTGTCTGGGTGTCACTGAAGATGGCATGGCTGTGGCCACTGGAAGTTGGGACAGTTTCTTGAAAATCTGGAACTAAACTTCTTTAACCCCACTCCCCCCCTCCTACTCTCCCTATCCCTGAGAGCAAAGTTTTAGTGTTTATATTTTATACATTGCGATATAAGTTGTGGTTCTCATTGGACGGCATACGACTCTTAGGTGCACCCATCATTGTTGTCATTGCTCCATCCGCCAACAAGTTATTGTAGATCTTACCCCTAAGACAGAATTTGTGACATTCCACTTACACTTAATCAAAGGGAAGGTTGGGCCACCTTTTATCGCAAGGGAACGTCTAGGTTTTTGCCAGCAAAAGTTGTGCATTGTAATGAAATCATCAATGTAAAAAAAAAAAGAAGAAATTGTTGCAGAATCTAATAATCTATAGGATTAAGAGGAGATGTGATTTATGTGTTTGTTTCACTTGAATAATTTACCCCCTGGCAGAGGCAAATGAATCCTTGAAGCAAAACTATAAAAAGAAAGAAAACTATGAGAGATTTCTGCCAATTATAATGCGCACATTGCATTTTTCTTTCCCCTAATTTGTATCTCTGCGATCTTGTCGCTTCTGTAATTGTGAATAATAATATCGACATATAGTGTTGCTATATCATGTTGTCTAAATGTAAAAAAAGATAAACGTGCTTGCAGTTGCAGTAAACTATCTGGAGAGTTGCACTGGATTGGGTCATCTTTGTTGCTATGATCAAATCTCATTTTCTCCGTCATTTCTTTTAGTTATTACTACTAGGAATTAAAAAAAAAGAAAATGTATTTTTTAAGGGAGATCTCAGTAAGAAGTTATGACTGCCTTGCAGTTACAATTACAACGACTGAAAGCTGTAATTTATTCTCACATTGAAAATTAAAGGAGACTGCATACAAGAATCAAAGACCTGGTCTTTGTCTTTCATGATTTATGTTGCAAAATTACATGAAATAAAGATAATTAAATGCAGAATCACCTACACTGAATTCAAAGTGTTCCCGCTTGTAATATCCAGTGCAACTATTTCAGCTTGTAGCTGCTCTCGTGTCATAGCTAATTAAATCATAGGGTTTGTAAACTGTTAGCAGTGAAAGGCCATGAGGTGTTGTTCAGGTTGTAAAACCGACTTTATATTGTCATTGTGAAATGTGAGTCAATAAAGATGAATTCTTCAATGTAGTCGGTCTGGTAAAATCTTGAAGAATTTTTTGGCTCGTTACGCAATGTCAGCCTACTGCGTGGGTGAGAGGAAGGAGAGCCACGTCCATATTTTAGGAAGCTCAGTTTGTGAAACGTCCACGTGTGCCGTAATTAGGGAGCTTAAGCAACGACGGCGACGACGCCTAGTAGAAAACGAATTTATATTTTACCAGCAAAATTCGCGATTGTCTAGATCTGTTCGGCGCGCCAATGGCTCTAAAACCGTGCTCAGGCTAAATATGCAATGACATAGTTCAATTCCAAATGGAAATACGAAAAATTAGCCGTCGTCCACGTTCAGTAGACGACGCAGAATTTGGTCATTTCATGTTGTTTTGCAGAGGACGGCAAAGAGATATACAAAGAGTTTTAATGCACGTGCACAGCCATTGTTTAGTATTAGTATTAGTATTAGTATTAGTATTAGTATTAGTATTAGTATTAGTATTAGTATTATTATTATGCTGGGACGCAAGTTCCAAAACAAAGGAACTCGTATCAGTCCAGCCCGACTTTTCTTTGTTTTGAAAGTCCCACTGTGTAACTTGCGTAATTCCGTACCATGTGACCTGATCCTGCAAAGGGCCTATTGAGCGGAGCCCCCGGGCTTCCCCGTGGGAAAGTCAGATACGCAGGGACTTTCTCCTACGATACCGTACGAAGGTAGACCACCAACGCTGCCGACCGTTTATGCGTCATGTTTTGCGATAACGCGTTATAACCTCACAAAAGGGCCTGGGGCATGGGTGCGGCCGGAGAGAATCAAAAAGTGCGCGGGCAGTTTGTGGGCGACCAAGTCGCCTTAACCTGTTAACAACGGCTGCCTCTGATTGCTTCCGGCTGTTTTAAGCGTTTCAGAGAGGCGAGAGTAACGACAGCTTCAGAATCGGCATAAATCTTGGGTTGGTCTCACGGAAGTTGTTGCTTCAATTTGAAGCACCTAAAAAGTATGGCCTAAAAAGTATTTATATCTTGATATTTAGCTCTCATTAACCGAGCAGGATGTCCGTATGGGAGAATATTGACCGAGGACGTGAGTACAGATCGAACGCAGTGAGATCTGTACACACGACCGAGGTCAAGATTCTCCCGTACAGACCTCCTGCTCGGTTAATAAGATGTTTATTATATGGCAAAAAAGAAAAATTTAATTCGTTTAATGTAACTGGTTTGTACTAGCTGACATTTTGCTTGCGAATGGATATTAGCTGAACCTAAATCTTCCAAAGTTTGCTCGTTATCTTGACTTTTTTTTCCTCATCAGGCTTTTTGGCACTTCCATTAACATTTTTAGGAGAAAATTGTCCATACCAAAGTTGTATTTTAGTTCGCAACTTTTTCACCGCAAAATGTAACCTGTCTAGATGCCGGTGTAGATGGGAAAATCTAGACCGCGGTCAATATCGATTTCAGCCAATCAAATTCTTGAGTTCGGTAGTTCCCAGCCCTTGTGATACAGTCATACGAATAACGACGAATTATAATAACAATAACAACAACAACAACAACAACAATAATAATAATAATAATAATAATTTAACATTTACAATGCGCAAATTTCGTAAAATGTTCAAATGCGCATGACAAGATTAAAAACGGAATAAAAAGGCTGAAAAGCTTAAATTACAATTAAAAGTAATTAAGGAAAGTGAAGAATGATCATCGCAGTTAATTTTCCAATTTAAGCAATTGGAAAGAAGAAGCCTGAAAAAATCAGGGCTTCAACGGGATTCG